GAGTGCCCCTTTGCTTGAGAGAGAGAGAGAGAGAGAGAGAGAGAGAGAGAGAGAGAGAGAGAGGGATGGACGTCCAGCGGCGCCGAGTGTCACTTTGCCTTGATGTTTTGCGCAGAATGGCATATATTTTGATGAAAGAGTAACTGCAAGTCTGGGTATCATGCGCTGCGTAGTGTGAGCTCCGCCTTATTTGAGGAGCGAACGTCTGTGACTGCATGATCTGCTTCTTCTCCGGTTCCTGGCTGCGAGGACTGGTCGCTTTGTTGCTTGGGTTTTACGCCATACAGTTCTGGATTTTGCCCCGGCCACCGGGGCTTCCTGGGTCGTTTCTTCTTGGGTGCCGGCTCTCCCCATTTCCTTCCCAGTTTGCCCAGGAACACAATCTCAAAGCCCTCGTCTGTTGGTCGAAGCATCCTCTTTACGCTCGTGTTCACACCCATCTCTTTCAATTTCTCAAACCGCGGCTTAATTCGCCCCTCAAGACTGCAATTGAAGTAGTGTGGGTACCCCACTAGAGTTTCCACAGGCTCTTTCATCACCTGAAAATGGCGAAAAACAATCAACCGAAAGCGACCAAAACAAAACAAAAAAAAAAAAACACCACACATAAAAAACTATGAATAGGATATTAAGAACAACAACAAAAAAAAAAAAATTATTGAATTGCCAAACAAAAAAGGCTCTGCCCCTCTCCCCAACCTTGCAGATATATGTGGAGAAAGGGCAGCAAATTTTGTGGTAGACAGTGAAAGGCACATCCTAAAATAATCCTGCACATCCTCTCTTCTTCTCTCTCCCCCCCMCCCCCACCCCACCACCACCAACAACAAAAAAAAAAAAACACAACCCCCAACAACATCAGTGGGGCATTTGTTGTATAATAAGGGGAGCGACTCGCGCGTTCACTTGCATCATACATAAGATACCATTTTCTCTATTTAAAAAAGGAAAGAAAAGAAAAGATTGCACCTTGTCACAGATTCACACACAGCACACACAGTGTTATTCATGTTAGGCACAGACCCAGCTCATTCAATGCTCATTCTTCGATACCACGAATCGAGCCACAAAGATGGCCAGGTTCCTGCTTTCTTAGCACATGCATCTCAACAACCTCTGACCCTAAGGTTGTCCTTAAGGGTCAGAGGGTGTCGAGATGCGAGTGCTACGAAAGCACGAACCTGGCCATCTTTTTGGCTCGATTCATTATATCGAGCCAAAAAGGCGGCACACAGAGTTAATTCAATGATGTTAGCCAGAAGCACACTCTTGTTATGTTCATGCTTCCATATCATGAACCTACCTACCGTCTTCAGCCGAATATAACACCCGGTTTCCAGCAGGTGTCGCTCCCCACCAATAGATGGAGCAGCCCRACAGACAAGCCCTCAATTCTGGCRGYTCTCGTACCACCGCWGRGATAGAGGGATGTMACAAGGGCTTTCCCAAAAAAAAAAAAAAAAAAGGATCTATTTGGGGATTCCGCAGATCTTTGAGGCTTCAGCCTCCTGACGAGTACTACCTGCAAGTCAGAAGAAACAGGGATAGAGGCTGTCTCTTATACACATCTAGATGTGTATAAGAGACAGGGCCTAGCGACCATCTCACGCAGATGTGTACATGTCATGCATCATCTTCACACGCAGTGATCAATAGTCTCAACCATAGACAAAGGTAGAGAAGAAGAGGACCGAGTTTCACGGCTAATGCTAACTCGCTGGGCAGCTATGGCTGCATCACTTCCAGCATACAGGCTTCTTCCTGCATTCAGCGCATCTTCTACCTCCAGCGCTGTTCCTCCTCACTCAGCGCACAAGTGCACCAGCACTTCCACACATTGCAGCCAGTGGAGATCTAGCGAGGAATGAGGCAGGCAGCTCCCTTTATAGTGCTGACCACTCCTCGCTGGGTCTGCATTGGCTCATTTCGGCCTTTCCTTCGTCCCAGACCCTGCATTGCATGTGTCCCAGTAGAGTCCCAGTGAAGTTCAACTGCTGCTGAGGCCTCTAGGCCTATATTTGGACTTGGAAGTCTGGATCTGGACTGACCCCTTGACTTAGACCAGAACTGGGACTGTGCCTATTGACTGTACTTTCGGACAGGCACAACTCTAGACCTGTCTCTTATACACATCTAGATGTGTATAAGAGACAGGCCCAGAGCAGGCAGTCGGGGTGTTCGTATTCGTAAAACGAAAAAAAAACACTAGCAGCACCACAGATAGTTCATTCAATCATGTTAGGCAAAGGCTCCCCACTCAGGCTATGTTTGTGCTTAGAAGGGCATTACAAATGTACTGACACAGGTGTAGAACTGGCCACGTTCATGCTCACAAAGAAAGCATGTGCCTACCACTGGTAGAACGGTCCAGGTGCATGCACGGCCTACCAGAAACAATATTGCGTCTCTCTGCATTCTCCGCCCCCCCACCCACTTTTTGAAGAAAAAGCAACAGACCCTCTATGTTTGTACTTAGAACGACATTATGCATGTACCAGCAGTTGTAAAACTTGCCAGGTTCATACGTAGAAAGAAATCATGTACCTAGTACGGTAGGTACCTACCACTGGTAAATTGTCCAGGTTCATGCTTTCTTCTTCTTCGTAAAACTGGCCAGCAGCTTCATACTTGGGCCCGAAATCATGTACCTACCACTGGTAAAACTGTCCAGGTCCATGCTTTCTTCTTCTTAGCACACGCATAGCACAATCAGGGCGTGCCTCTCTCCACAACCTCTGCCCCCTCCCCCCCCACCTTTTTCGCCCTCGCGCCCCTCTTTTCCCCCTCTATGAAGAAACACCAACACACCCCAACATACCTGCGTAAAATACTCTGACTTCGGTCTCAGGATCTTGTCCACGTTCAACGTAAGTAGCTGCGGAAATCTGGTCGCCATCAGCGCAATCTGCCCCGGCCGAAGTCCCAGCAAACGCAGGTGCGTGAAGGCCACCTCCAACTGATTCTCCACGCTATAGCCGAAGATCTCCGGACATTTCGTCACCAGCTTTCCCAGCTCTTCGTCCCACACGCCGATGTTGTCCAAGAACCTCGCGACGGGAAGCATATGCTTGTCCAGGTTCAGGATCAGCACCTGGCAGACACCATCTGACGTCAGACACGTGTTTGTCAGCGAATTCAAACTCAAAGATCGGTTTCAAGGTTTTCGCCGACTGCAGGATTTCATTATTTTACTTCACTCATGCGCTTTGGCTTTTTTGTCCCTTTCTTTCTTTCTTTTTTAATCAGCTCTTTTACTCCCTCCCTTTCTGAATCCTAATGTTTAATGAACTCTGGATTACAAATCAGACACCAAGACTGGCATAATTCGGCTGCTTCCTCGGAGACGAGGAATTCACACCAGAATGAACAGCACGACTTCAGAGCCACATGAGATGTTCTACGGTTATGTCAGTTCTAATCTCTGTTTTCCCTGCATTTACTTTTAGTTTCCTTGCATTTATTTTTAGTTTCCTTGCATTTATTTTTAGTTTCCTTGCATTTATTTTCAGTTTCCTTCTAGGCTACCCGCCGGGCCGCCCGGGTCCTGGGTGGCCAGCCAGTGCAAGGGCCAAGGAAGGTCCCAGCAAAAAAAAAAAAAAAAAAAAAAAAAACGAAAAAAAACTATGTTATGCAGAAAAATAAACTGAACTTTTGCCTCAGGGTCACATCGAAATTATTCACCAAATTTAGAATAAAAAATAAAACTGAAAAATAATTTATTTTATAGTTATTTTCTTTTTTTTTTTTTGGCCCGGCCGAGCAAGTGACCACGGGCCACTCTCGTAGCCTAGGTTTCCTTGCATTTATTTTCAGTTTCCTTGCATCTATTTTCAGTTTCCTTCATGCTTGCAAGCGCACCTTGCAAGCGCACCTCGTGCGCGAGTTTCCCTACGTCTGGCGCACGGGCCCGACCGTTCCCGCGCGGCGCACGAGGTGTGTGGGGAACGGGCCGACGCTCCCCCCCCCAAAAAAAAAATAAATGGCAGGGGTCGAAACGACACATTGGAGGCGCCCCGCCAAAATTGTTCCCAAGGCCAAAAAAAAAATTTTTGGGGCGGCGCTCAAGGCCGGAGCGTGAGGTTTCGAATTTTCGAAACCTGTTTCCAGTTGTACTCTGTGTGGGCTTGCCTGGCCTCTTGGGTGGGTGTGTGGCCTGCGCGGAGTGCTGTTGCGAAGTGCTGCGAAGTGCCCGCCCGTGCTGAAGTGCTGCCGTGCTGCCGTGCTGCCCTGTGAGGGAGGAGCTGCCGCCATCGCCCAGTGAGTATCACCAGCTTCGACCTCCCCTTCATCATCCTCACTGCCTCCTCCTCCTCCTCCTCCTCTCCTCCCGCTCATCCTACTCCTCCCCTTCCTCGTCCTCCATCTCTCCTCCTCGTCCTCCGTTCTCGTAGTCCTCCTCCTCTTCCTCCTCCTTCTCCTCCTCCTCCTCCTCTCCCACAGGTGTAGAATCTGTCCATTTTTTTTATTTTTTTTTAACCTTTTCTCGATTTGTGCTTATCATCCTTGCGCAGAGGTCGTGCTAATCTTCTCTGGTATAGTCCTCCATCTCTCCTCCTCGTCGCAGGTGTGTGTCATCCTTGCGCAGGTGTGTGTGTGTGTGTGTGTGTTAGAGAGAGAGAGAGAGAGAGAGAGAGAGAGAGAGAGAGAGAGAGAGAGAGAGAGAGAGAGAGAGAGAGAGAG